ATATTTTCGTATTACATAACTAAACTAAATTTCACACAATTAAAATTAAAATTAAACCAAATTAAATTAAAATCTGATGAAGCTATAACTTTAGAAATTTTATTAATTATAAATAATAAATTATTACAATCCATGTTTTAAGTTACTGCGTAGAAGAAATTATGAAGAAGAAATTGAATTAACTTTAGGTTCAACTTAAGAGGAAGTAATTGCCATTAACAGAAATTTTATGAAATGAACCCTAAAAGTACACTTTCTTCTTTACGAGCCATATATACATTGAAATAAATACGAGTTATAAGTTTAATTTTTTACTGCCGAGGATTTGCGCAAAGTAAGCTGATAAATTATTTGCAAAATGTAATTGTTGTAAATAATTTATAATTAATTTTTTATCACGCGAGAATATTATTATTCAAAAGACAGGTTTTACGAATGATGCAGCTTCAATATACTATATACATACAAACAAGAAATGTTTCTAGTTTGCCTTCTTGTAATGCAGTTTGCATCTCATCGTTTCTCGCTTTCTCTCAAGATTTTTTTTCACGACAGTTCGATTTCACACTTTAAAGAAATTTGTGTCATTTATCGCAAAAATAATGGAGAGCATTATTTTATATATTCTTATATATAAAAAAAATCACACGTCCATGGTAGTTTCCATTATTATTCAACATAATTATTTCTCTAATTTTCATAAAGGCTAATTAAGATCATCGCATATTGTTTATATATGTAGAACTTGTATTAATTAATTAAGAAAAAAAATTGTTTCAAAGATAGATTTCAAGAAGATAAAAGTTACTTTTCTATCGTCAAGATCATTAAAAATGTACGCCTTTTCGATTCTAAAAATTCTTTTTAAAAATTCAGCATTTATTTTTTTAAAAAAATTTTATGCTCATTATTTTATAAATACAAACATTTCTTCTTTTTTTTTGTTTATTACGGTATTCAAATGCATTTCTAGAAAAACATATATATGAATATAATTGGTGAGTATTTATATGCGCGTAAAAAAGAAACGCCAGCGTTTGGATTTTGTTATACAACACCTATGTGTATAATTAATAGATATAGTGATATGAAGATAAAATTTATATTGTAACTAACAAAAAATATTTTTATTTTCAAAAAGATATTTTTCAAAACTATAATTATATTTTCTTTTATAGAAACTTTTTTTTGCATATAATTTAAACTTTCGAATTTGTCACAGAAAAATTGAAATCGATTAACTAAACAAATTTATAAGAATGACTTTACTTTCTCGTTAAATAGAATTTGTATTTTCTTCACTGATTCTAAAAAGTAAAGAAATTAATTTATAAAATTTGAAAAGAAGAATATTAATTTTTTAATAATATATTAATGGATCAATGCGAGAAAATTGCGAAACGGAAGTATAAAAAAAATGTTTCATTGTCGGTCAATGGTGCAGAAGATAATGTTTTCTTCCTTGTTGAAAATATGTATTCCTTAATAGAGTAAGACATATACATGTAACGAGCTATAAAGTGTAATCGTGCATGCTGTGCGCCTGCAGAAAATCTATCCGCGTCCTAGACATCCTTTTTCCGCTGTCGCAGTTGCGTTATATTGTTTCTAATCTTGACCGCGATCATACAAGTGACACGTATTGTTCACAAATGTGTTTAATTCGGCGAAATTACACAATAATTTAATTGATAAAACGTCAAAAAATTATAGGTTATATTTACGATAGTCGAATGTCAAAATTAAGACTCTTGTGAAGTTGGCACCCCAATTATAAAAACTTACCAAATGATTCCATATGAAAAAACATTAATGGACCATTTATACATCATTGGTAAAAAAAATTTTATTTGGCATTTTCCGAAATACACACATCTGATTGGTTGTTCACAATCTGATTGATAATGGTCAACCAATCAGATTTTTGCATTTCAGAAAATCAAAGTAAAAAATTTTTTTACCAAAAGTGTAAATGCTCCAAAAGTTTTTTTAATTGGAGTGCCAACTTCGTTCGTAACGGGAAAAACCTTAAACTATTGATTTCCCTAATGAAAGTCGTCTGCTATTTATTTTGAAAAGTATATTATAAAATCACATAATTTCATATTTTTGAAAAATTAAGTAATTGAATAAATAGTAAATGTTAAATATATGAAATATTATTTGTATTTAAAAAGTCATTTATAAATTAATTAATTTTATTAATTTTAATGAAGTTCTTTAAAACTTCACTAACTTTAAACTTTCTTTTAATACACATTCTTTAACAATCAACTATTGTCTTTTTTGTTTTTACAGTAATCTGTATCTATTTAATTGTAATAAAGTTTCCATTAAAAATAATAGAATTAATTCAATCTAAGAATCTTTCGAATATATGACTTTTCCGAAATTCAATTATTTTTAAAATTATTAAAATTCTTTATAAAAGTAAATGTAATAAAAATGTTTTTAATCATATTTAAATAAAATTCAATAATTTAAAACATTTTAAAAACTCTTCAAATTGTCATAAATCACACCAGTTTACAGTGAAATTGCCAATCGTACGAAACATTTTTTTTTATTAATAGGTGTTTTTTAAGTAAGAAAAACATATTTTTGGATATTTTTTTCCTTCGTGCAATTTTGCTGAATCTAAAAAAACACATTTTCGAGGTGTGACGTTACTTAAATTCACCTGTAGGAAAATTAGTTTGTCCAAAAAAAATAATATATCATTGGAAAGGTATTATTAAACTACCTTTCGAACTTTCGTCGTACTGTAAAAACAATAATTGATTGTTAAAGAATGTGTATTAAAAAGAAGTTTAAAGTTAGTGAATTTTTAAAGAACTTCATTAAAATTAATAAAATTAATTAATTTGTAAATGACTTTTTAAATACAAATAATATTTCATATATTTAACATTTACTATTAATTCAATTACTTAATTTTTCAAAAATATGAAATTATGTGATTTTATAATATACTTTTCAAAATAAATAGCAGACGACTTTCATTAGGGAAATCAATAGTTTAAGGATTTTCCCGTTACGAACGCCACCTCCGACTATTCTAATTTTCCGGAATGCTTGTACCATAGTTGGGGACATTTTTCCTTCAAAGTGAAGACTCCTTATTCTTACTTCGTGATAACAATAATGCGCGCATTTAAGATCGCACTTAGTGATTCTCCTATGGTGCATGCAAAAGCAGTATGCTGATGCGACGCATGCGCTTACAGTCGCATTCATGCTAGCAAGAAGTTCTCTTTATGCCTTCACGTATGCGATCTCCTACAATGCACTTGAAATGCGCCTTCAATGAACTCACACAGTATGCGAATTAGAATAAAAATTATTTAATTTAAATAGCTTAAAACATGCGTAATATTATGTTAAGATGAAAGTTCTCTCTTGAAAACATAATTAATAAAAGTTAATAAGAAAGTAATTATTACTCTCTAAATCTGAATTAGTGAAATACTACTAACAAATAGTAAAATTTGACTAATATTAGTGGAAGACTTTTCCCATTTTTATTAGTTAAATATAACTAATTTTTAGTAAATATTTACTAATTTTTTAGTATTATTTCACTAATTACTAGTCATCTGACTGACTAAATGACTTAGTCAAACTGTTTTATTGACTGTTAATAAGGCGAAATGACTAATTCTTTAGTCAAATTATACTAACAATTAGTAAAATTTCACTAAATGTTAGTTAAATTGTTACTAAATCATTTAGTCTTTTCATTAAAGTAAAAAACTACTAATTTAGATTTAGAGAATAAATTAAAGTTAATAATAAAGTTTGTGAATCAGATTTATATGAAATGGACTTTTAAAAATAAGAGAATTTTATAACAAACTTATGAATTTATATATTTTTATTAAAATTCCTGTGACGAAAGTCTGTGAAAAATTTTGTATTCTTTGAATATAAAAAATTCCAGTAGCAATCGTTTTGAGGAGGTATCAGAAATCAATTTCGGCCTATGTCGATTTCATCAATTAAGTAATTGATGCCTCCTTTCCAATTAGATATTTTTAATTCATCGAATAGATTAAAATTCCCGCGTCTGATTCACGTTCCCGAATGTAGGTGGCGCGTAATGCACTTGAGTCAGCTGACAGCCGGAAAATGTCTATGTCAACTAATTCATAAGATAAGAAACGGTAAGAATAATACAATAATAAAATAACTCAAAAATTTGTCTATTGGTAAATATTATTATTCTTAAAAAATGTTTGTAAACAATTTAAAATTCTTTTATACATTTATCCTTATAAAATGGGGTTTGTTCAACTAGAAAAAATTATTTTCTTAGTTTTATTTTTAGTTTCCAAATTTTATACCAATTTTATTCAATAAAATAACTCAAAAATGTGTCTATCAGTAAATATTTTTATTCTTAAAAATTTGTTTATAAACAATTTAAAATTAATTTATGTATTTTTTCTTGTCAACTAGTCTCATTTAATTTTTTTTTATTAATTGTAATGTACGTGTATATTATTATTAATAATTAAAAATATAAGTAAACAATAAAAAAATTAATTATAACAGGTACAAATATCGATATAATCAAAACAAATGTTTTAATTTGCATTCGATATATCGACTGCCGGTATTTTGTACAGCGTGAAATTGAATTTAAATTTTATGAAAATTTCATTTCTATTATTCCTTTTTCTCTACATAATATAAATAGTATTGTTCAAAGGGCTACCAGATCAATCAACATTATCAAGGCTATGTCCAAAATATCATGGGGGGCGAACCCAAGCGCTATGCTCATGGTATATAGAGGTCTAGTTCGGGCACATCTTGAATGGGGCTGTCAGTTTTTTTCTGCTGCCAGTCGATATAATCTGGAGAAAATTGATAGAGTTCAGTTTTTATCCATTAGAACAATATTGGGATGCATGAGATCAATTCTAGTGGGTATATTGTTGTCTGAGGCGGATGAACCATCTTTGGCTCTTAGATGAGCTCACCTTTGTAGAAGACATATGATTAGAAACTTCTCTTGGTCTGAAAATCCACTCATCCTTAAATTGCAGCAGTTGTCGGAGAACTGCTTAGTTGATAAGCGTTACAAGCCTGATGTTTCTCTATTGAGATTCCCGTTACTGAACTCTTTTAGGGAGGTCGGGGGGATGTTATATAGGAGCACCCAATCTAAAAAGCCTTCAACATTCGACTATACCTGGAAGGAATTGACTGTTCCAATTGAGATTGATATTGACTCTGGTTCTGGCATCAAATCTGAACCTGACTCAAATAGTGTGTTCGAAAAACTTATTCAGACTAAATACCAGGGTTTCGTTCGAGTCTTTACTGATGGCTCAAGGGATCCATTTAGGGGACTATTCGGTGCTAGTTTTGTAGTTCCTTTATTAAACGAAAAGTTTGGGGTAAGATTGAGTGGATGAATGGCCAGTGATTAATGCGAATTATACGCTATCTACTCTGCCCTGAGGTTTGCTTTTCGTTCTAAACTGGATAATACTCTTATTATTACTGATTCTAGATGGTCTCTGTGTGAACTTAAGAATAGACTTTTCTCCCCTCACCTTCATCCGTTCATTGGAAACATTGTTAAAATGATTGTTTACATATTGGAGGGAGGTGGACAGGTTCGGTTCCTCTGGGTGCCTTCCCACTCGGGCATTAAGGGTAATAAAAAGGCAGATTAACTGGCTAAGAAAACTTTGGAGTGTCCATTCGGTAACTTCTCCAGTGTTCCTCCGCGGGATCTAATGCAGATTTTCGGGAAGGATTTTGATGCATGAAAGGCGTTAACTTGGTATAATGCCGATATTTCTAAGTCCCGTAATAAATATTATCTGAGGGTGGGTTACAAGGCTAAAAGACCTTGGTTTGGTGGCATCGATGCATCCAGGAAATATATAAACTTAGTGACCAGGCTGAGAACTTCTCACATCTGCACGGACGATCATTTCGAAAGGATGCAGTGGTACGTTCCTCCTGGTTGTAAATGTGGAGCTGAATTCAAAAGTCTTAGACACCTGCTTTGCTTTTGCCCACTTCTCTCAAGTGGTAGACCTAAATTCTTTTCTTTTTTGGCATGTAAAATAACTAATTTTAATCCAATTGATTTTGATTTGGAAGAATTAATCTTTAATCCAAATATTGAAATTGCAGTTGAGATTGAAAAATTTTTCGCCAGTGGTGAAATGATTGTATAAATTTGATTAATGTTTGATAACAAATATTGACCGTAAGGGGGGTGCAATCGTAGAGAAGTAAACAGATTTAAAAGGTAAGTCTGATGCGAGAAAAGTTTCGAGAGACAAAAGGGAGTAATAGATGTGTAAATAAACTTAATTTTGCATTTAAAAATCATTATTATAAGAAATATAATAAAGACGAATTAGTAACGGTCAGATTGAGTGAGTTTATGGATAAGTCAGCTGAAGGATAAAGTGGTGAGAAAGGAGGAAGAAAGAAAAAGGCAAATTAAAAAGAAAAATAATTTATAAAAAAATGGATATATATATATATAAAATAAATAAATTAAAAAAAAGAAAAATGGAATTAAAAAAGAGATAAAAGAAAGAAAGATCATTAATAGGAATGGGAAGACAGGCAAATTTCAATGTTGATAAAGTTCTAATAAAAATAAAGTATTTTTAAAGAAATCGTTAATTGCTCTCGGTTTAATGTTTAAAATTCGCTCCTTTCCTCTCATCCTTTCCTTAAGCAACATACACGGAGAGCCCCATAGTAGTAATATGTACGAAAATCAGACTAGAATTTACTATTTTCGCTTTGCAAGCATTGGAAATAAGGGGATTTTTTCATATTCTACTAAAGAGTTCGAAGAATTTATTTTTCTCAATAAGAATTCATTCTTTTCAAAATAGTAATTTTTCAAACTTTGTGTAGTAAAATCATAGGTAGTAAAATCTATAATATAATTTTCCTATTTACAAAAGACAAAAACTGATAAATGAATGCAAAGATAATTATATATTGATGCTTTTTTTTGAAGAATTTACTATATTTTGTAGAAAGATCAGATGTACGTTCGAAACTGATTTTTTCATATTATTGATAATATAAATTAAGACGTTGTACTTTGAATAATACTTTTGACTGTAGTAATTTTCGGTGAGCAAGGAAATGCTCAACTGGTGCCTATAATTCTATTGGTTACTAACACGTCTACGACGTCTGTATGATATAGACACTGGCGCTGTGAAGTGTTGTGTTAGTTGTGTTCACGTGCTGGATCACGGTTATAAATTTTACTTCTTGCCGGTTGGTGAAATATTATTTATTTATAAATATAAAAATAGTGCAAATAATAATTATGGATGATATGTAAGCCCTTAAACTACTTATGTGAATAAGTAGTAATAACTTTTCATTCTTAAAGTCTTAGCATTCTAAATTCTCAATTTTTTAGGTTATGATTTTATTCAAATTTAAATTAGCTTGAGTTAAAAGTTTGAATACATTAGTTTTTATTGTTCCTTGTATACTAAATATGCCTTATTTACAAAATGTATAATTCTTTCAATATGTAGTGAAATTGTGGATGGAGAAAACTGGTTGCTTGACAATCAAATCGTAGTAAGTAAACAGAAGTAATTAATGTTATCACCTAATAAAATTCAATTACAAAATAATGCTGCTTTTAAATGATGGTCATTTATACATTTTACTTTGTAGGATGAACCAGAATTACAATTTGCCGATGAGCAAAACTTTTCAATAGAATATATAGATACTGATAAATCTCCGTTAGTTGCCTGTGATACTAAAAATGATTTTATGAATGATAGTACTACTCCTGGTACTTCTAGTAATCAAATTGTCTGTGATATTACAGACTGTTCTAAAGAAGTAAGTGTTTTTATCCTTAAATATTACAATACTCTCCATGAAATCGATAATAATAATTTATATAAATTTTCAGCAGCCTGCAGAATCTAGTGAAGTAAAAAAATTGAGTTCTCACATATTTACAAAAAAATTTTCAAAAAAAACATTCTATAATGTGGTAAGCTATATTATGTATAGTAAAAAATAATTTTTTGAATGTAAGAAAAAATTAAATATTAATAATGATAATAATAAATAATATAATAATAAATAATAATACTAATAAATAATAATAATAAATAATAATAAAAATAAATAATAAAAATAAATAATAATAATAAATAATATTAAAAATAAATAATAATAAAAATTTGAAATAGATAAAAATTTAATAAAAAAGTCGATATTAATCTTGAAATTTCTAATTACAGAATTTGAAAGAATTTCTAGAACATAATGGAGACGGAAGATTAATTTTAAGCCAATTTTCGGTTAATAACAGTTTGAATAAAGCATCGAGAAGCCTGCTAACTCGAGTAATTATTAAAAAATTTAAAGATGATGCTTTTAAATCAGTAGCACTCGGTGAAAAGCTTCGTGAATTTCAGTGAGTAAAGTAGTTAAATTATAATTTATATATAATAAAAATTATTTTATATATTTATATTATATATTAAAATGATGGTTAACCTGCTAAAAATGTTAACCAAATGGTTAAAATAATGGTTTTTATTTCTAGTATACCTGCTGAGCTCTTCGCTGTTATTTCTAAAGAAATAGAAGTACTATTTCCAGGAGAAATAGCAAGTACTTATTATTCGCCCTACCGTAGTGAGAATGGAATCAGTATTTCGCCGTCAGGAAGTCTATGGTATAATTATAATTATATTAAGGATTGTTTAAGAAGTAAAGACTTCCTTGAAGCTACTACAAAAAAAAATAAAAAAGACAGCTGTATATTAAATGACGTGAATACCGGTAAATATATTATTTATTAACAATGTACTTAAAACAAATTCAAAAATGGGAATAGATACTTTCTACACAGTTAATCGAAAAACATTAATTTCATATTTTAGAAAATAGCGATTTTCAGTGGCTTCAAAAAAATTTGGAACCTTGGGAAACTGTTTGTTGTAAATGGAACGCAACATACCATATAAGAAAGGCTTTTTTGAACAAGGAGACATCGATATCAAATTTTATTAGAAAATTCCCATGTTTATTAACAGAAAACGCTAAAGAACTGGTATATAAATGAATTGAGTATAATTTTTAAATTATTATTGTTTTATAATATATTTTTTCTAATATTTTACAGTATTTGAAGGATTTTGAAAGGCTGCACCCAGAGCATACTTCTTCTTTATTTGACAGGTGGGACACCATTAAAGGCGTAATTATAAATGAGTTACAAAAAATTTCTGTAACTAAAGGAAAGGTAAAAGACATTCGCGATCAAGCCCTAATCCAATTATTGCCAACTTTAGAAGCAGGTAAAACAGCAATATCTTTTTATTTTGCTTAAATTTTTTTTCTTAATATACTAATATAAATTTTGTTACAGGAGCTCAAGACGCTGTTGTACTATCCTTACTTCCGTTATTAATTAACATCACTCGTCCTGGTAAAAGGAAACGAAGTGAATCTGTGGGTGATGCAGAATTAGGTAATCAACCAAACGTGAGAAGCATAATAACTCGAGGCGAAAGACTTGAAACCTTTGTTCAACATGTGGAGGTATATTCAATTGATCATTTTTAAAAATTAGAAATCTATCTTTTAGTTTATTTAAGCACTATACTGTAATACGAATTATTCATAATTTATTCAAAATCCTTTTATTTTCTGTTGCGCATAAAATATAGATATATGAAGTTAAATATTTAATTTATAGTTGGAGACGGACTTGAATTGCATAATAGACAAATTGAGAGACAAATTATTGAAAACGAAGGACACTTTTCAGCCAATGATTTTCGTCGTTGGACCATTAATCAAAATTCAAAAGGCAGTAGTAGTGGTAGATGAACAGCATTACGCATTCGATTCACAAATTGACGAAAAATCAGTATTACAAGCTCTGGACTTAGCCTTTAAAGTATTTTTCGTGCTTGAGTGTCATTACCCGAAAACTTCAACGTCACTGTGGCATTTTATTCAAAACAGTGGATACGATTTATCACTTGCAGGTGATAAACCAAATGCGTCTGTGAAAATATTGATAGGATTGGTAAAGCATGCGTTAAGTCTTCCGAAACAAGTTTAGGTTTTTTCATTCCTTCATTTTTAAAATTCTTTTTTTAAAATGTTCGCGTTCATATGTTCAACATGTAAATTCTCATTTGATAATAATCATAAGTTGATGAGACATGTTAATTTAACACATTCTCAGCTAAATCGGTTCACATGTTCAGAAAAGTTTTGTCAAAAATCATTCTCTTTAATTGACTCGTTTTTAAAACATAGACGAATGAAACATTCTGCAAATGTTTCATCTAATAACGAACTGTCTACTTTTGAAGAACCTTCACTTGTAAAAAATGTTATTACAGTTTCAAAAAGCGACGAAATACTTTATGATATTCCTTCAGATTCAGAAAGTGAATCATCTTCAGAAAGTGAATCATCTTCAGATGAAGATTTGATTTTAAATAATTCGAATGACACGGATGTTCTTAATATTGTTCAACAAGTTTCACGAGTAAAAAAACAAATTTTTGATTCCGAAGTACAGTTTTCTAGTAAATACTACCAGTGTGCAGATATATCTAGAAAAAGAGTTGCTGAGCTTATGTCAGATGCTTCAAAGTTAATCGAATGTACTATTAATAACGTTGAAAATGAAGTCTGCAATCGTTTAGAAAGTTTAGGTGCCAATGAAAAATATATTGCTGAAATCAAAGATGTTTTTACACAGTTTTCGGAACCCTTTGAAAAAATGAAAACCGAAAAACAATGTTTCGCGAAATTTAAAAACTTTGACACATTTATTGTTCCAGAAAGTTACAAAATCGGCGAACGTAAAGAATATAAGTTTACACTTTCTGGACCTATTAGTAAAAATGTTTCTGTTGTAGCTCAATTCATTCCAATAAGACATGTGTTGACAAAATTTTTTGAAATGCCAGGTGTTTATTACGAAACAGTTAAATATATAAATTCATTGAATTCGCAAAAGGAAATAATATCTAATATCGTACAAAGCCCTTTCTGGAAAAATAAATTGCTTCTACATCCAGAAAAATTTGTATTGCCTCTAATTATGTATTTCGACGATTACGAAACCAATAATCCGTTAGGTAGCCGAAAAGGTATATCTAAATGTGGCGCAGTGTATTTAGGTTTGCCTTTTTTGCCACCTGAATTTCAATCTAAGATAGAGAACATTTTCTTATTTATATTGTTTAACTCCTTAGATCGCACTTTATTTAAAAATAAAGTAATTTTTGAGAAAGCAATTGAAGAATTAAAATTTCTACGAACGGAGGGCATATTAATAAACATTAATGGCAGACAAATAAAAATATACTTTGATTTGGCAATAATAATTGGTGATAATCTCGGTTTAAATTCAATTTTTGGTTTCATGGAAAGTTTTAACGCGAAAAAATTTTGTCGAATGTGCTTGATTGATATCAGTGAAATAAATTCAATTTTTAAAGAATCGGATTGCAGGCTTCGAAACGTTTCAAATTACAACAGTTCATTAAAAGAAAATGACCAAAAAAAATCTGGAATCAAGGAATCATGTGTATTTAATGAAATCCCAGGTTTTCACGTAACCGAAAATCCAGCAGTAGACCTACAACACGACTTCGCAGAGGGAATTTGTCGGTATGATGTGGCCCTTATTTTACACCATTTTATTTATATTAAAAAATATTTCACATTAGATCACTTAAATGAAATCATAAATGCATATAATTATGGTTCAAATGAAAATATTAATAAACCACTTGAAATTACTCAATTGCAGTTAAAAAATAAATGTGTCATAATGTCATCTGCAGAAATGCTAAATCTTGTTAGAAACTTGAATTTAATGATCGGTATTTTTGTTGATGCAGTTGATGAATGTTGGAACTTGTTATTAATGTTACAGGAAATAATAGAAATAGTAATAAGTAAAAATGTAACAATTGAAACACCCAAATTATTGAAACTTAAAATTTTTGATTATCTCAGTTTGCTATCGACGAAATTTCCAAAAAGTTTAAAGCCAAAGCATCATTTGCTTATCCACTATCCCTCTGTGATGCGTCAAGTTGGTCCACTGTGGCACATTAACTGTATGAAATTTGAAAGCAAACATCATGAAGCGAAAGAAATATCACACACATCTGTTTCTCGAGTTAATATCTGTAAAACAATCGCCCTGAGACATCAACTTATTTTAAATTATAGATTTTTGACGAAAAATTCAACACAAAAATGTTATGTTACTGGTCAAGTCAAATCTGTGCCGATATGCAATTTAATAGATGTTACGAATTTTATTCATTTAATCCCTCAGCGTTCGAATTTTTTGGTCTCAAAATATATTAAGTACATGGGTTTTAAATTGAAACAAAACAGTGTGATTGTAAGCTTTTCTGAACTGGGACCTGTCTTTAATTTCATTCATTTAATTATATTGAATGGGAATGACGATTTTATGTTTATTACGAAATGCATGACAGATTGTTTTTTTAACGAACATTTTCAAGCGTATAAAATCTACGATATTTCTTCCTATCATTGGGAAATCATCAAAAAAGCCGATTTAGATAAAGCTGTTATTTCACACGTAAATAAAATCAGCGACGGCTTTTACTACATTTCCAAAAATTGGATGTGATTTGCATTGCAATAATTAGGTTGCTTTTTAAACTTTTTTTAAATTAGTTTATTTCTTAAAAGATAATAATTTTGTGATTATTGATTTAGGTTTACTCGAAATTGTTGTATGTTACCATGATAGTTCAGGTCGTGTAATTTATTGAAAAATGTCACATTATATTTATGTATAAATCACTAAGTTTTTGGTATTTAGTCAGTTCAACTGAAAAAACAAGTTTGATAAAAGGAAAAGCAGGAAATAAATAATTTTCAATTTTTAAATCTAATTTTTGTATCTCTCTTATTTTATGATCATTGTTAACAGATTTTCATTAAATTTATGCATTATGTATGAAATATTTTTTTAAAGTATTAAAATTACCAATAAGTCAAGAAAATGACACAAAAATTTTTTAATGTATATTACACTATTATATTACATGTTACATTTGTATTAAATAATAATAATTTTTTTATATATGCCTACATTTTCAACTTACCATCCATTAACAATTGATTTAAATTTAAATTAGAAAACAATATAAATAATAACAAGTAATTAAAAATTTGAATGTGATAAAGAAAATATAAATAACGTACGAAAAATTCTTACATAAATTTAGAAGTACTAATTTCTTAATATTGACTTTCATAAATCTAAGTCCACAATTTAATAATTTCTTCATTTTTCCAAGTAATAACGTAAGCAGAAATGTAAAAAAATATTCATTTTATAAATATTTAAAAAAAATCTGTTTGGTTGAAATATTTTGAAGTAATTGATTTTAAATTTAGTGAAATTTTCTTCTCAATAGATGGCATCTTCTTTCTCGACTCTCGCGAGTGGTAAAGAAAGCTTAGAATCAATATATAAGGAAAATTCTAAAACACAGAATTATATGTATATGTAATGCGTGCTTATGTATAGACTTCGTATGCGAATAATATATTTTAGGTTAGATATAAAAATTTACTTGTAAAACCCGTTCGATATGTGTGTATAATATGTGTGTCTTAACCATTATAGTATAAATAAGCTAATTGGTGTTTAAGTGTGAGTGTGTGAATACTTCTGTTGGTGAATTTGGAAATTTCAACTAATACATATATATATTTTTTCTCCTTTTTCTATTTCTAACTGGCAGTAGAATTACAAATGACTGTAGTAATTTTGCGTCGGCAGTGTTTCTAAATTTACTATAGTTATTTGAAAATATTGTAGTGATCTTTAACAGATAATAAGAAACTTCTATAAGTTTTTCATACAAGAAGCAGTATTTGGCTACAAGTGATGGCCTAACTGTTTTACTACAGAATCTAGTAAATTTTTCAAAGAAATTTTGAGATAAATGTAATACTTTTAGATTTTATCAGAAAGAACTTAGTAATCTGTTGCAGATTTGTATATTACTACTGAAAATAGTAAATAATACAAAAGGCCCCTTATTTCCGATGCTTGCAAAGCAAAAATAGTAAAATATAGAGTGATTTTTTACAAAAAGTACTGCTACGGGTCTCTCCGTGTACACCACAACTAGATGTGACAAAAACACTGCCTCCGAGATAGAGGAGGTCTGTGGACTTAACCAGTTGTGACGCGTCACACGAAGTTTTGTACGTATAATACGTTTTCGACGTAATATACGTATAAAATGTATAAAACCATGTAGAAAACCACTGACATTTTGACATCTATATATGGTCCTCTGATTTTTGCCATAACGAATTTTTCTTATCATTCTATTTAAATTAAAGTCTTAAATTAATAATTACCTAAATTTTGTTTATATTAACAACTTTCTCTTACAATAGTGTAAAGTAATGAATGATGTATTTTAATGAAGAATTTAAAATTGCCGCTCTTAAATCACGTGATCAAATGTAATATACATCCTGTAGAAAACTTAGCACGTAATATACGTAGTATTATACACGTAGAAAACCACGTATTTTACGTCATGTATTATACGTACTCATCACTGCAGTACTGGCTACCTGTTTAAACAAGAGGCCATTTAAACAAAAAGAAAAAGATTATTCCTTTTGATTCCTTGTCTTAAAATAGGAATGTTGCATTTGCGATTGTTTAATTATCTCTTTCCCAAAATTTGTAAATTAAATAATTTCTATTAATGTTGCAATATTTAAAAAAAGAACTAAAATTAAATTTAGCAAGTGTTGATAATTGTCAAATATTGTCAAAACCACACGCAATAAAGAGTTTTACGAAAATTTTGTACATCGTGTGACTACTTTCACACTACCAATCATATTGCTCCTTAACATTTCTCCTCAGTCAATAATTGTTGAAAATGTGGTACAGGCCCGACAAGTAATATTTGATAAAATTTTTATTTTTTTCGATTTAATATCACTAGTGCTCCTAAAATTCTTACTAGACATATATCTGTAGTATCAGTGGCTAAAGGCCTGAGCAGAATAGAATCGTAACCGGAATCGTAATCACAAACGCAACCGAAAGAATGAGTTAGAGAAAGATAGACATATTGTTTGTCCTTCTCTAACTCATATTATTCCGGTTGCGTTTGCGGTTACGATTCCGATTACGTTTCTATTCTGCTCAGGCCTTAAGGGCACAGAACAGCAGTAGCTGGGCATTATTTTTCACTCCGCAAGACGAGCAACATTGTGTTAAACCGCATATCTTAGTTCCGACTATTTTGTATAATTAACCTATAACTTGATTTTCCTATCTAGTTCAACCTCACTAATAATTAATAAACAACACAACATGGTGGCAGCGGTTGCAAATAAGAACCAAACAATAGTAAAAAAATCTTTAATGTATAAAGTGGCTTATTGTCAGAGTGGACGCTCAAATCTAAAGTGATTTCTCAACTAATAGTGTGCGATACAAAGCAAATTAACAATGTCGGATGACGAAGGACATAATCAAAATTAAAGAATAAGTGTAAATCTGCCATTACAACCAAGTGTTAAACCTCCAGATAAATTAAATTTCAATGATGCAGCAACATGGCCGGCGTGGAAGAAGAGATTCACTCAATACCTATCAATTTCGGGATTCGGTGAAAATGGTGACACAGAGAAGGCGGATAATCTCATTTATATAATGGGAGAAAAAAGTGAAGAAATGACGCACAATTCCAGCCACAACCGCAGACATTCGACGCAACTCTCCAAGTCTTTTAGGACTATTTTATACCGCGGAGGAATATAATCTACGAGCGTTTCAAATTTAACTCCCTAGTTCAACAAAAGGGAGAGCCAGTTGACTTCTTTTCAACAGATGAGTAATAATTTCTGAAGTGGATCACCCAAATTACAGATGTACTGTATTTGCATGGAAATATAGAAAATCAAAATATTATTATGAGTTGAAAAACTGCCTCAAAGGATTTTTCAAAAAACTTAAATTTCTCAAAGTTATAAACAATTGAAGTTTTTTGTAGTCTTAAGTTAAAAAATGAATATCTTAGAACTAAGTAAACGGATCATTATAAAAATTGTTATACTTACACAGAAAATGATGCAGTTTTAGTTGAAAATTAAAAATGTTTGATTTTTAATGATTGTTATTGCAAAATTAATTATTTATTTAAAAAATAAACCATGTTCTCGTTGTCTTAGAAAGTTGATCGAAAGTTTGTTGGAAAGGGAATTTCATAAGGATTCGAAACCCGTTTTAAAATTTCGTGGATCGCAATTAGCAAAAAAGTTATCGCGTTTTTTGTGCGGCGCTGCGTGTTTCTAGCGCTAGCATGCAGAATGTATTTTGCTCAAAAAGTAAGGAAACTTGCAAATATCTCGAAAAGTACGAATTTTTATCAAAACTCTTCAAGGTAAAAGTTGTTTCTATCAAAAAGATCTGCATTTGTGAACCCAAAAAATTGGTTGTTTAGTTCAATAAAATCCTTTAATTTTGAAAATTAAATTCGTAATCCCTATGAAATTATGGGTTTTAACGTGTGAAGTATATGACCAAAATATTGGGCTGAGGAATCTTACATTGGGTTCTAGGCCTAATTCAAAAATTAGTTTCGAATTTCTAATATGTTACCCCAAAACCCCATATTATTCTAGACATAAATTTTGTTAAATGGAAATTGTATTATTTGAAAATTCGATATATCAGAAAATTTGCTTCATCAAAGTTCAGTTAAATAAAAATTCTATAAAATAATAATTTTTTTAAATAGAATTTTTCGATATTAAAGTTGGGCTCACTGTAAAATCTACTTTCTTAAAATTCTACTAAATGTAAATTTGATAATTTTTAATTCGACACAACAAAAATTTCGGCAAGTATAATTTAGGAAATATTCATGCGTCCCCATTTTTGAACCCAAAAAATTGGGCCCGGGGCCCGATGGGAAACCATACAGCGAAAAAATTAGTCTTTTGAAATAAGACCACTAATATTGTGTATAAAAATCGTAATCCTCATAAAATTCTGCGTTCACACATGTGGTAAAAATGCACAAAATATTAAGCCGAATCCTAGACATTAGGCTTAACATTTTTCTTCAAATAAGTGAATTTAAAAAATCGGGGCTTACGGGGTTTTTGGGGTAACATATTGGAAATTCGAAGCTAATTTTTGAATTAGGCCTAGAACCCAATGTAAGATTCCTCAGCCCAATATTTTGGTCATATACTTCACACGTTAAAACCCATAATTTCATAGGGATTACGAATTTAATTTTCAAAATTAAAGGATTTTATTGAACTAAACAACCAATTTTTTGGGTTCACAAATGTAGATCTTTTTGTTAGGAACAACTTTTGCCTTGAACAGTTTTGATAAAAATTCGTACTTTTCGAGATATTTGCAAGTTTACATACTTTTTAAGCAAAATACATTCTGCATGCTAGCGCTAGAGGCACGCAGCGCCGCACAAAAAACGCGATAATTTTTTTCTAATTGCGATCCACGAAATTTTAAAACATGGTTTATTTTTTAAATAAACAATTAATTTTGCAATAACAATCATTAAAAATAAAAAAATTTTAATTTTCAAATTTTTATTCTACCTGCAACTTGTTGAGTGATTGGTGTGTCCTGATCGGTGATCGGTGTGAACAAAACGGATGACAAGTAACCTTCGTCTATTTCCATTGATTCCAGACAACTTGATTCTTTGTGGTTTGTTTCTTTGGTTATGTCTTCGAGTTCCTCCACCGCTGAAAAAGCCTCTTCGAATTCTTTTATTTCTGACTCGTAGGTGGTACTGACAATGAGATCAAGTTCTATAAACATGTTTTCCGGATCATAATCGAGCGTGGGAGACGGCGCATACCTTCGCATTGATGGGACGTTAGTTCTTGGTCGCTCTGGATAATTTATTTTGATATCCTCGTCGTATCACAGTGACCTAGACGATGAACGCCACTTCGGTATAAGGATGTTTTTGCTCTGAAGTATGT